ACGCTCTTCTTTACTTGATAGTCATAAACATATAAGGCCGGGTTTGAGGGGAATCAAGTTAGACATGAAGTGGAAATTAAGGGGAGATGGTGCAGTTGCGGATATTGACAGATGATTGAGCTCTCATTTATTCATGCCTCCTCATTCATTTGCACCAGAGATCACACAACATGGCTAAACTACGCCGACGAGCATTGCCATGTGTCCGGGTATTCACTTAAAGGTTATGACTATGCTTGGATTTATTTATCATATTTTCAATATAGGTACATGTATAAAATAATTTATGAGGGAAGAAGTGTAATATTCTCAAGAAAGAATCAATGGGTGACTCCGGATGATGATCTTCACATTAACACACCAAGCACAATAAGACCTAGGACTAGGCTAAAGAAGAGGTGGACCAAAAGCTTCATTGACAACCAAAGACAAAAGCGATAAATGCCCCCACAAATGTGACTCGTGTGATTCGCAAAAGCACTTGCAAGACTTCTCTTGTCCATTCTAGTTCAAATTTGCCTGAAGTTGAATTTATCTCACACACCTCAGAGTTTACATATACTGATATAGGCTTTCGGGGAATGCTTTCAGAGAAATGGTGCGGTGTAGAAGGTGTTGATAATGATTGATTGCAACTGAAATTTTTTTGTGTTATAACATTTTTGTCTCGTAGCTTTACTCAACAATGATGTACATATTTCAGTTCATTCATCAGAATTTATTGAAGTGGGGTATTTGGAATGATATTTTGATAAATGATGAGTATAACAATGATTATCTTTGATTCTGAAATTGAAATGATTGAAATATATTATGTGCATACTCATCAATACCATTAAAGTTTACATACAAATTAATACCATTAAAGTTAATTTTTTGAGGTTTTTACATACTAACAGATATAGCTGCATGATTCACAGCAGTGAAACAGACTGAAGTGAATGATGCTGTATTGTATGATGTAATGAATAATGATTCTTCATGTGATTTTGGTCGCTTAAGTTTATATATATATATAGCTTAAAACACTTGGAAACTTCTATCAAAATAGTCAAAATAATAATTTTGGGGTCAATTTGGAATCATTTTGATTTTTTATATTTTACTTTTATTTTTAAAAAAGTGTTAATTTTATGTGTTTATCATATAATTTAATTTTTTTAAATAAGCCAGCCCACTTTTTAAAAACTGTCAAAACAACTATATATTAATTTAAATATTTTTAGAAATAAATACCAAGTACACTCACATGCTTGATAATAACATCTCGCTCGAAACAGGCTTTGTTTGAAGCAGCGGGAAAGTTTGGAGCGAATGACGGCAAGAGACGGACTTCTCCAAAAAAAAATGGTAGATTTTTGCTATTTCAGATTGTAGCTCATCTCCTCCGACAAACCAAACTTTTAAGAGAAATTCGATAAATATCGAACGAAGCCATAATCAATGGTCTAAATATTTGATTGGTCTAACATTATTGAAGCCGCTACCATTTGATATTCCCCCACATTAAATATATCAGTTCGGTAGTTCAAAAAAATCAACTGGGCGGTTCATTTGTAAATAGTAACATTTTGGGTGATTTACATGTACTTATCCCAATAAATAAAGCCCCACATGTGACCAACACCAACCTGCACAATTTGTAAGTCTACTCAGCCAACACCATGAGACATTTAGATGAGAATTTGACAGAGGCTTGCTCATTTCTTAAAAGAAAGGATTGTGCGAGCTAACTAATTACATCAATTCCAATCAACAGAGATTTATACAATCTATACAGAGGCGAAGTAAATTACACTACACGCTCATGGCCCTTGAAGAGTTCTCTGTCTCCCTTTCCACTTCTTCTGAACCATCCGTAGCCTTAAAAGAAACTAACAGTTAATTATTCTTAATAATGGAGTAATTTATAATTATCAAAAAAAAAAAAAAAAAAAAAACTAACTTCAGAGTTTCGCATCCTAAATACTATATGTTCAATGTTCTCGTCATGAGGATTTCATTATCAAACTGACAATAGCCCACGATGGTTATCATTTTTATTTGCCTGCCTTTCTCGACTTCCGAGGTCGAATCTATGAATCCATTTACTAGATGAATTATAGAAATCTATCCGACCTTGAGGCGGTGTTTGGTATAATAATTTAAATATGATTTCGTCATGAATTTTGCTTAAATCCAACTAAATATTAAAAATAAAATAAAATAATTAAATCCCACGCTCTGTTAGATCATTTTTTTTTTTTAGTTCCGTCTTTTTTATCGTGTAAATCCAGATTTACTAAATACAAATGTGAAGCGGGTTCAAGAATTTGCTTCTGCTATTGCTCACAAGCTCATGTCTGTCGAACAGAGCATCGAATTTACTGGATTTGATAGATCCTATTTAACGCAAAATTCAGGTTGCAGCCAAACACCGCCTAAATGTGTTTTAAACTTTCAATATTAGTATTAATGATAGATGCAGATGGGGAAGGAATGAACTTGGGTGTTACACAGGCCGCCACACTAAAGAATAATTTTACCTTGTTCTCTGAAAGATAAGGTTTCAAGGCACCGTCGCCTCGAAGAATTTTAGCGCCGCAGCCTGCTGTTTCAATGGAGCCAACAGCATCCTCGTCCACCACAACAGCAACTATTCGTTCATCTCCAGTCTTCCTATCTGGAATCTGAATATATGTGCATCTCACAAGTTGCCATTATAAAAAGATATATAAGATTGAGCACAGGCTAATGTTAAAAAATTTGGGAGTGATTCAAGAGTTCTCAACTATTGTATAGGTATATATCTAAGAAAAGGATTAATTATGAAAATGTTTACAATGGGTACTGAAAATGATATGCCATGATGTATTCTATTTATATAAGAGATAAAATTCTAATTGGCAAGCTATCCCCTGAAATTAGTAAATGTAATTATAGAGAAATATTAGAAGGTAAAAACTTTAAAACTAAAAAAAAAAAAATTTAAGTTCTTAACATAAAACTTTAATGACTATTGTAATGATTATGTTTCAATAACATCAAAAAGCAGACAATAACAACAATATTATATGGATCTAAATATTTGGCTATAAAAAATCATTGTTATTTAAATCAAGTGTGGTAAAAATTTGAAAATTAAGATCGATGTGTCTGAAAATTAAGAATGCTTACATTTGAGAAGATGTCGAAGTGACGACTACTAATGAACAGTTAACTGAAAATATATGCAGAAGATTTCGATATACTTACGATCAATGATAGAAAATATATCTATTCGACAAGCTGAAAATTTTTTTTTGTCAAAAGATAAGTAAGGATAACAGTTGGACCTAACCTTTAATAGATAAAAGTTGTTCTAAAAAACTTTAAAAAAAACAGATTTGACACATAAAAATGAATAAGGATTAACAATGCCGAGCCCAGATGGTTGGGTTAACTTAAGGCTAACGATGATGCAAATGAATCAATCCCACTTGCAGCTGAGCGAAAGATAATGCAGCATCTTGTAGCTTTTTTTAGAGTTTAAATATCTAACACCCCTAAAAATATCATTTACATAACTAAAACCACAAACTCATTTATACAAGTAAAATGACATTTCCCATGTCACTCCCGTTATTGTTCATTTCAACTCGCCCACGCCGGTTGGTTTTTTCCACTTGCTTTTAATTTCAACAGTCGAGCAGGAGAGGAAGCATGAGAAAGTAGACGCGTGCAGGAGAGCCGAAGCTTCGGCGTACGTTGGGCGTTTGATCGTAGAATATAAGTGTTATAATTTTATGTGATAAGAAATTTATATATAGATATATAAATATAAGTATTGTTATATATAAAAAAATTATTATATAAGGTAAAATAATAAAAAAAACTTATATTTCAATAATTTAAAGTTATTAATTAATTAAACTAATATAATATTTAATAACAAAATCAATAAAATTAAAACTAATATGAATATCATATTTATTTTAAACTTCCAAATTTAGAGAAGTCAACGTTGAGACAAATCAACTAGTAAATTAATCGAAAATCGAGGTGAGTACTTGTACTTCTAAATTATAATACAAATTTGTTCTTCTCAAATATGTTTGCAGTTGATGACATTTGTAGATGTTTTATTGTGATTGAGCTATTCTTCTCTTTATTGATCATATCGTAGTGAATGTTGTAGTTATTTATTCATACATTTTAGTGTATGCTTTATATCTTATGATTGCATGCAATGAATACATATGTTTATGATGACTGCTTGCATGTGCATGCTTCGTTATAATAGACCACCCATTGATGGTACTAGTAGGTGAATACTAATATACTTGTGCACGTAAATAGAAAAGAATATTGATGTTGATGTGTCTTAATTGACAATTTTTTTAAACGGTGCCTCATGTGACGATTCTATAGATATGATAATGATATAGATTCATTTGAATAACATCTCAAATGTTTATATTGATTTATAAAGAAGATTAATTGAGATGAATATTGTTCTTTATTTTCCTTATATAGCTGTAGTTTATAAGTATGAGTATTCACTAACTCATTTAGCTCACAATTGTTTTAACTAACTTTTCATATTTAATTAAATATTAAATATGAGCAATAGATGAGAAAACGTCTATCGGAGACGCGAACAACCATCAACAAGGTGAATTTAATTGTACCGCTTTAATATAATTTTGTAACGGCTCTTCAATCTGTTAAAATGTAGACGATTATAGAAAATTTTAATTCATACCGTCTGATCGTCTTGTATCCGTCTTAGTTAATTCCAAGCCCCAGACCGGATTGTGGCATATAAATTTTTATTTTTATATATCTGAAGCCATTCATAATTTATATATAGTATTATATATTGAATTAATCGTTTTGACGCATAGAACTTTATAAAACTAACTCGGTTGAAATTTGAGAAATTTTGAATTTAGGGTACATTTTAGAACATCAAAATTTTATCCGATTTCTCAAAATAGATTATTACAATCTCCCCTTATAAAATTTCGTATTTGAAATTCATGAACTTCACATCAACTGTGAAAATATACATTATGAAGATGAAACAAAAATTGAATACAAAAAGTTGTTCCTTATCAAATGATAATTGAAATATATCAAACTTTATGCATCAACATCAGTGGCAATATGCTCATCCAACTTCTGATGGGTTAAGGAATAAACTCTTGGACGAATGTTTTGACTTGGTTGCTCCTTACAAGCCATAGTATCAGCTTCTGCTATCCTCTGTTGACCACTTCAAGATGTAGAGCCTTCCTGAAAATTCCTCTGAACTGGATTTTTTCCTGGGTGAGCAACTGATATGGATCTTTGAGTAGCATTAAAGCAATTTCTTCTCATATGTCTAGACTGTCTGCATAAGTACCCAAGTAAACACATTCACCATGATGCTGCTTCCCACTTAACACTAGTGCTACTGCCAGCCTGACTGACAACTCCATCAATGCAGTACTTTATCTTCTTCCCAATGAACTCCCTTCTCCTGAATGAATTGTTGGTGTCACTTCTTCTAAACTCTTCCTATTATGCATGTCTCTATGATTTTAAGTCTGTTGGATCTCCACTAGTACTAAATAGTCTTCAATCCCAAGTTGCACTAGTGACCACCTGATCGAATCCTTCAATCTAGAAAGAAATATATGGCATTCTCCTCTGCATTAGGAATCAACAGGGGTGAATATCTGGCAACATAGTAAATTCTGCTTTGTATTGCATAACTAATCGATCTCTTCGGGCCAACCTAATGAATTTATCTTGCTTCTGCCTTCTAGCTAACAGTGGTAAAAACCAATCTCTGAAGGTTTTCAAAAACTTGTTCATTGCATCAAGTGGTTGTTTCTACCACCAAACTTCTTATGCATTTATCCTTGCCACCATCTATTAGCTTCTCCCTCAAAAGCAAAAGTAGCAACAGTAACTCTTCTCTCCGGTGGACATGATAACCCATCTATAATCTTCTACACTCTCAAAAGCTAGTTTTCAGCTTCCACTGGCCTTCCTACTCTAGAAATGGTTTCATATCTTCAGAAAGTTTCAAGTGCTTATCCATTGGTGTTCCTCCACTAATACTAGCTTGAGATTGAGAATTTTTAATCAACTGAATCACAACATTTATCATGTCAGAGAATGCACCAACATTGACTATGAAATTCTGGAGTTCAACAGATTTTATGTTCTCATCTCTAGCATCTTCCTCCGGATCATTCATAATTCTGAAAAACACAACCATATAAATTAATTAGACCCAATTAATTTTTTTTATTTATATATTTATAACATAATCCAATTATCTTACTATTCTTTCATTAAAATTCAAATTATTTAATTTAAACTTCTTGCTCTGATCTAGACCTCTGTTTTGATATTTTTTTTGTCATGACATTGCCCCGGGCTTAGAGTTAACCTAGACGGAAACAAACGGTCGAACGGTAGAAATTAATTTTTTGTTATTTTGTTTATATCACAAGTCGTTTAACATTTAAATAATATGTGAAAGAGCCACTAAAAAATCAATTAAAACTAACAAGTATAAATTTAAATATTTTTGTTTGTTGTTCTCGCATTTTATACACAGATTCTCTTCTGTTCATCTTACTCAAATGCCTAAAACCTAAAAATAAATTAAAGCAACATAAAATGTTATATAAAGATAAACTATAAACAATCACACTTCTAAACTTACAGTAATCTAAAAAAAGGAATACAATATACATGCAGGCCTTGCATATCTCTATAAAAAACTATTTAATATGCTAAACTTTCATATTTTTTATAAGAAATCTTATATATGTTAATACGTGTATCAATAACCTTTTTTTAAATGATCATACGCTAATCTTATATATGTATTTATCATAACTTTATTTTTTACTTTATACATTTTACATACATTTTTATCTTTGTGAGAATCACCATTAAAAAAATCTTCCACGCCTTTGGCTGATATTGTCACGTCCGCTCCCGTTGGCACAGTGGTTAGCCATCTACACATCGCAATCGTTTACCGATATTATCCCATCAGCACAGTGGTTAGCAATGTAAATATCACAATTGACTGGAGATATAAGTTTTAATATACTCACCCCTGGCTGATATTATCCCGTCGGCACAGCGGTTAGTGATCTAACCATCAGAATTGTCTAGGGTGGTACAAAACTCTACGCACACGGGTAAACTAACATCCTCTATCCGTATCATTAGGGGGTGAACTCCTCTGAACATGCACATACAAACATTCATATATAAACTATTTCATTTTTTAGTCTGAGAAATCTTCATGCATTACTAACATGCATACTTACTCTGTTGTGCAACTACTCATCATGCATATCTTTCATATCATATTTATCTCTGGTTTTGTTCACATCTCTTACTTATATTATGCATATTATTTTTCATCGCGCTCATCATGTGTATCTATAATATCACGTCTATCTTGCAGATCATCTATACAATACATACCATGCATTTCATACATATATTTTATATATATCTATCATGACTAACAATATGAAGGATTTAATTAAAATAAAACATCCATGGAGTCAAACATACATTTTGAAATAAAGAAGAATACTAAAATTTAAAAATATAATTATTCACCTCAATTGTCATGCTAAAATCTTAATCTTCCTAACTAGTTGGTGTTACGATACTTTATGTTGAGCAT